GAGGGGAGAGAAGATGCCGATGCAATTGAGGAGGTAGCGGATTATGTCCTCCTGCGTCAGCCAGCAGAACTCGCGGCCGTCGTGGAGGGTGGAATTGGGGCAGCTCCTCTGAATCAGCTTCTTCCTCGACGAGAAATGGCTGTGGATCGGAATCACCAGATTCTGCGGGTTATCGGGGAGGAAGAATAATGGAAGATAGGGTTTGTTTGGGTTTGATCGAAAATGAAAGAAGGTGAGGCGATAAGGTAGGTGGGGTGGGTGGCCAAAATGTTTTGTTTTTTTTTTCTTTATTATTAAATTTTGTAAAAGAAATAAAAAGAATAATGAAATTATAATTTTTTTTGGTGACATGGCAGTGACCTGGACAGTTGACCGTCCAAACAAACGGTCAAACCACGCTCCAAGCCAATTCTGTCTATATGCTGCATAGTTCGGGCCAGGATGTTAATTTCTCAAACCACGGGCCAAAGTTGATTACATGGTCATAGTTCAGGCCATAATAAGGTATTAACCCTTAAAACTAATATTATATAATGTGTCTTTCATGGAAAGTTACTGTTTACTTGTTGGCTTATGTTTGTTTGTGGGTGATATAGATGTTTGATTGTGGTTATGTAAAAGAGATTTGAATTTATAATCTCCAGATTCAAGGCTAGTGGTATTAACACTAGATCATGTCCTTATTCGCTCTTGTTGGTTTAATATTAGTTGACCTTGTTTGAGAGGCAAATGATTTATGAGATTAGTCCTATAAATATGTATTTTTTCTCTACGCTTTATTCATGAATAAGATGTCAAGTATTTATAGTAATTTACTTGTAGTTTTATCAGTTTTACTTAGTTCTTCGTAGTTGATTCTTCTTCGAGTTTGCGACATCCGACGCGTGAAACTGATAATGCATCAATTGGTATTAAAATATGATTGGCGCTAATTTGCTATGTCAATTTTCACGCAACATCTAGCTGAAGAGGTTATGGTCCATGGTAACACGGTTATGAGGAAGGTCATTCTTGGCGTACACCTTTCTATTCGACCTATCTGACCCCTCTATATCTTTCGCTAATGTTCCATCTTCTCATCATTCTCTCTGGCCTTATCAATCCTATTCTGATTAAGATAAGCAACCATACCAACAGGATTGAAAGGCATCCAACCAAGAGCATCCACAAGGTTGGGATTACATAATTTGTAACCACGCTGAAGGTTGGCTTAACTGCCACGACCTGGAGTAGAGAGAAAAGTATTAGCTTGTAGAAGAAGTGGAGAAGAGCTTTGGAGGAGGATTTCCATCACGTGAAAACCCTTTCTTTATGATTTTTTTTCCTGTTTGCATGTCTCCCCCCCCCCCCCCCTCTCTTCATGGGGGTAATCCCTCAAGGTACTTTGAGGCTTTGTCTCCCTAACCCTAACCCTAACCTATGGTTTTATTTGATGTTTGTTCTTTCTTGCATCAAGTAGTGGGATTGTCTGTATCGCGTTTGCCTTAATTGCAACCTAGGTGGTAGGAAAATTTTCATTCTCCTTCTTGTGATTTATGGATGAATTGAGTTGTCCTAGAGTTCTTATGCTTCATCTATGATTAAATATGCTTGGGCTTGTCTCTCTGATTCTTTTCATAGTAGACTACTACTTAGGAGTGCATGAATTAGAGTAGCTTCGAGTGCCTTGGCTTGTTAGGAGTAGATGAATGATCCAGGAGTCTATTATGGTGGACGAGGTGAAAGTACCTATGCCTATTAGATGTCCACCTAGACAATGCTAGCACGTTGAGTGCATAACCATTGACTCGACGGTCTAGTGTGTGAATGGATAGAATCTATTTAGAGGAGATAGATTTTATCCTTACAATGTGAAGCTATCCGAGGTGACATTGGACTAATGAATCAAATATTGTATTTTATGTGTACAAACATATGGTAAATAAAATAAGCATAAAAAATTGGGATTCATTCCATTCCATTCCATGAGGGGTGTTCCCATTTTGGTAGGCGTTTGGAGTCAGGTTACCATCATCATCCTCGGGAGCATTCCTTAGTGGGTCACAGTCACACCAAGTTTCTTTTTTCAATATATGCTTCTTTTGTATAATCGCTTCTATTATGATGCCTTAAAAAGGTTCCAACTTGGACCATTTGAAGAAACAAGTTTCAAACTCTTAAAAGGACCAACAATGTCGACAAATTCGTTTGGTTGGATGCAATTGAAATTCTCAAATTTACAATCGATATAAGTGAACATATATTATATTTTATTGACATACTTTATATATTTGAATACAATTAAAATTGTACATGCAATCTCAATTTATCCAATTAGACCCATTTGGGTTTAATCCAAATAAGTTGACCTAAATAAAACTCAATCCAAACCCAAAATCATTAGAAGTGTATATGGATCCATTTGGATCCGACTCAATACCCATATGGATCATGTCATTTGGGTCAAATAACCCAATGGGTCTACCCATTGTCTTGTCTAATTTTTTGTTAATTTTCTAACATAATTTACAACACAAATTCATCAAATCAAACAATTTTTTTAGAAAATACATCTCACAAAATAAAATGCCGGAAAATAACATTTTATTGATACAATAACATTAATGTTCAAATACACCAAAGTGAAAACACCCAGTTTGGATTAGAGGTTGCATCTCACTAGCTTCTTTCATGTTTTGTGAATGGTGAAGCTTATGGTTTCTTTCCAAGTGAGAGAGGTCTTAGAAAAGGGGCCTCCCTCTCTCCTTTCCTTTTTCATTCTTGAGATGAATGTTTTATTGGGTATCCTAAAAAGATGCAACTCCATGGTTTAGTTGAAGGCTTCTTCATGAACGAGGATCTTAAAAGTGGCGAGGTCACTCATATCCTCTATGCGGATGACACCCTGCTTTTATGTGATGCTTCCGAAATTCAAGTTCAATATCTCCTTGTAGTTCTTGCCTTTTTTTAAACCATCTCGGGTCTTCGAGCGAATTTATACAAGAGTTTCATAATGGTTGTGGGGGAGGTGAAAGATCCTTTTTATTTTGCTAACATTTTTGGATGTGAGATGATTTCTTTGTCGGCGAACTATCTGAGGCTTCCCTTAGGATCTAGAATGGCGTCTTTGACAGCTTGTGGACCAATGATTGAGAAGGTCCAAAATCGTTTAGCCTCTTGGAAGGCTAGGATGCCCTTATTTGGGGGGATACTATGTTTGTTAAAAAGCGTCCTGAAAATCTTCCCATATACTTCTTATATCTTTTTAAGGCCCCCTTATCAGTGATTGCAAGGTTGGGAAAAATTTATAATGGTTTCTTTTGGTCTGGTATCTTGGAGATTAAGAGACTACACTGGGTTCGATGAGATTTGGTGAAAAACCGTTATGGTGAGAAGAGGTTTGGGAGTTTTGGATATCCGGAGTCTTAATAAATCTCTTTTAGGGAAATGGGCTTGGAGATTTGGGGTGGAGAGAGATGCTTGGTGGAGGAAAATGGTTGTGGCAAAATGTGGGATAGGTGCTTGAGAGTGGATACCTTGTTGCCTTGTTGGAACTTGGGTCCATATGGTTGCTCATCCTTATGGCGTACTATTGTCCACAAAAGCTCTTATTTTTTTTAGAGTTGCTTATATATGTCGATCCGAGGGGTTATGGAGTGCCGTTTTGGCGTGATGTATGGATTCCTAGGAAACACTTGGTGAAAGAGTTCCCAAGGGTTGGATCGGGTGCCCAATCCTTGAATGTTTTTGTTTCTGACTTAGTTTCTTTTAAATACAGGTCCTTTTGGGAGATCCCATTACAGTTTTACTAAGAGTTGGGACTGAAGCAGAACGAGTCCGTTTGATGCATTTTGTTGTCTTCACTTTCACATAATTGGACTTGTGTCGGCCCAACTCGTTTGGTTTGTCCTTTGGAGCGATCCTCTGTTTTTCTGTGCATTCCTTCACAGCGCATCTCATTGATGATTCTTTTGAACGTGAAAACTTCTTCCCCTACAAACTCGTATGGATTTTTTCTATCCCTTCGAAGATTTACTGCTTTCTTTGGATGATCTCATTATCAAAAGTTGCCACCATTGACAACTTGAGAAGAAGAGGAATGATCATTACAAATTGGTGTTCCTTGTGTAAAAGCGACAAGGAGTCCATTTCACATCGTATGTTTACATGCCCCTTCTCAAGGATAATTTGGGAATTCTTCACAAAAGCTTTAGAGCTGCATGGACCTTTCCTCGCTCAGGTTTGACCTTTTCTCCATGCTTGGGGAGGATTGAGGTGTGATCCTAAGTTCAGAGATTACATTAAAGTCTTGCCATGTGTTGGTCACTCTGGGGCGAACAAAACAATAGGATTTTTAGAGATATTGAAACTTCTCAAATGTACTTGTGTCACAAGATCATCCAAATGGTTGGGAGGTGGCTTCGAGCTTTTAAAATTCTTTCAGATCCACTTACATCCAGGGGCGGAGCCAGAGCAGGCCAAGGTGGGTCGGCTGCACCACCTTGGTTTTGCAACACCTGGGCAAGTAATAGGCTTTTCAGTTCTGCAGACTTTGTTTTCTGTTCATAATTCATACTCTGTTCTTGGTCGAAGCTTGTAAAAGTAGCTGCTTTGATCGAATAACATAAAAAGGAAGCTTGCTTTTGTGTTTGATCAATACGTCAACGTTTTAAAATTACTTTAATTGACGTGAAAGTGGGTTTACATGTTACATATCACTTTAACCCTTATCTTTCTTCGAGCTTGCTACAAAAAACGAGTTTCTCTAAGGTTTGTGGGCTTAAGTTTAACTTTAGTGGCCAATTAGCTTCTCTTTACTACACGTTTTTTACAATAACTCAATTAAGGTTAGCTTAGTAGTTACTAGTTAGGTCACATATGAAGTTGTGGACATAGGCTATTAGTGCATGGGCAACAATTTGTAGTACGTAGGTTAGTAAGTTAATTGGGACTTGGGAGTCTGTCTCTTGGATGTTGCTGATTTGGGTAGGTTTACCAGAACGGTTTGGCGGTTGTTAGGTTTAAACATTAGGTTTTTCTTATTATATAAGATGTATGTTCCGCGTTAGTTCAAAATTAATCAATCAAATAATAAACAAAACGTTTTTCGACGTCTATGTCATCTCTTACTTGTCAGTTACAGGCAAAATCATTGAACTTGTGGGTTCAAGTTCATCAAAAGAAAGATCGTTAAACTCATTTGGCAAGCCGAGGTCGAGCTTTCATTTTCATTAATAAGCCGAGCTTGATTCTTAAACTTTCATTAATTTGTTTTGTTTAGCAATACCCAATATATGAGTCAATGACGTCGCTTGCTGCTCATCGTTCACAAAGACTCGCTCCACTGTTCGATCCACCTTAGTGAAATTCCTGGCTACGCCTCTGTTTACAGCAATGGGTGAGAATTGGGGATGGTTGATGGTTTGTCTCTTGGTTTTATCTAGATGTATAGGTGTTATTTTTGGGGCCTTGAGATTCAAAGGCATTCCTGTTGTTTTTGTTTTTCTTTCTATTAGTGATAGTTGTTTGTCACCATATTTGGTAGTTCCCATACTGGTTCTTGTTTGTTGTATTTGAGTTTTGGCCGTTGTTTTGCCAAACTTTTTTCACCTTTTTCCTTCTAGCTAGGTGTTCATTTTTTTGTTGCACTTCTTCTGTTAGTAATAAAGTTCATCATTTATCAAAAAGGAAAAAGAAGGTAACCAACCATAATCACTCGTTTAAACAATAATAAACCTAAAATTTTCATCTATATACACTATACTTTTAAAAAACTAACTATTGGCTTCTTTTGCCCGCCTTGCGGGATCACATATTCCCCTTTCAGTAGAGCAACTTCTTTCCTCTCCCTTCGCCCTTCGGGCTCACATATGATAAACCTATCGGTCGAGCTGCTTCTAACCTTCCCCTATCGGTCGAGCAACTTCGTTCCTTCAGGCTCTGCTTAATACGTTTATCTCAGATAGAGAGATTCCTGCGCCCGCCTTTCATGCTCATATATTCCCCTCCTCTCCTTTCAGCCGAGCTCGTTCCTCTCCCTATCGGTCGAGCTACTTCGATTTCAACAATCAACTCCCATGACCAACTAATGTGTGTGTGTTTTTCAATCAAAATTTATTGGTTTTCGAGATTGAGAAAAGTACTCAGGTCGACGAGAAGCATTGGTCAGACAACCAACATAACCTCAACGAAAATCCGCACCTTTAACCCTCATATTTCTCTCAATCGTGACACTGGATCAATAATTCTTGCCTCAAACATCATTCATTCATTCATAGCCATTCTATTTCCATCATCTATCGTACGAAACTAGCCCTACATAACATATCGATCGAGAGAAGACATGTCCTCTAATGAAAATGATGGGCAACGAATTACGATATGATATTACTACTATAGCAATGGCCAATAGAATGGGTGACCCCGCCCTCACCCGCTAGGACCATTTGCTAGAACTCATAGAGGCAAGGAGTCGGTGCAATACTCCAAGCACATGAAATGAAATAGGACCTCAATTAATTTATGGTAATGGTGTTCTTTGGTTGTTGCCATTTTCTCCACCTAGCTAATTTTTCAGGCCTAGCAAAAGGAAGAACAAACTCTACTTGTATCAAAAGGTTGTGGTATTTAGTTAACGCTTGTCCTATCATAGTTGAACAGCAGAAATAACCAGAAACCCAAGAAGCAGAAGGGGGCACTAAAACCTTGTCACGTACATAAACAAGTAACTGTGGGATGGCCAGAAACGGGACCAAGTAAAGCAGGTATAAGTAGACAAGCAGCAAAAATTCGAAGGCAACCTAAACAATATCCCTACAAAATGAGACTAGTTCACAGGACTCGGCAACAAAACTCAGTGACCAAGAGTCATAGGCAGCTAGCTTCCAACAAAAACTACTTCATGATTCATATAGCTTCGATAGCTCTTCAGAGAAGGCCTTCCTAATGGCTTCTCTCTTAATCTTTAGAGCTGCAGTGACTAGCCCAGTCTCGGGAGTCCATGGATTTGAAAGCAACTTTATCTTCGTCGGGATCTCAAACCTCTCCAACTTCGCCTTCTTCGCTTCCTAATCACGCAATGAAAGAGGGGGATTCTGATATCATCATCATGAAGTCTAATAAAAAGTTAAACATCACATTTCGGTTTTCAACAATAAGTTGAACATCACATCAAACATCCAAATAATGTGTACCTTGACAAGAGCAGCTTGGACTTCCTGTACTGTTTCTTTCTTGTCACACAGGTCTGAGAAATCGGTGTAGCTTATTCCTTGCTTTGCAGCCCATTCTTCAAGGGCAGGCTGAGATGGCACCACTACAGCCACAGTGTAACTGTGGAATGGATCAGCATGCATCATCATGTTGTCGACACAGGAGGTTGCCATAAGAACAGCCTCAACCTGTAGGCAAAAAGATAAGAGGGGAATGGAGACTACTCGTCAGCAGCAGCAGAAAATATTTGTGGTTCTCTTTATGGGATCTGTCAGTGATGAAAAGATGCATACTTTTCCCAAAGAGACGTACTCCCCATGCTGAAGCTTGACTATATCCTTCTTGCGGTCAATTATCTCCAGGCATCCATCAGCATGGAACTGACCAATGTCGCCTGTGTAGAACCACCTCATGCCTTTCGCATCAACCTTCTCCGAAACAACAAAAGAGTCGACGTGGTTAATACTTAATAGTACTTGATGACGGAATTTGTATTTCAAAAGACAGTTGGAAGAGGTTGATTTAGAATTTCCACCTTGTAGACTTCTCTTGATTTCTCTTCATTTTTGAAGTACCCAAGGGTGACATTAGGACCGCCAATGACTATTTCCCCACGAGGCTTAGGTGAATCAGTAATCAAATATCCACCTTCTGGCCAATCCACCAGCTGAAAAGCCAGAACAAATGTTCATATCAATAACAAAATAGAATTCAAATAAGTCAAAACAAGAATCATGATTGCAGAAATGGTTCTTGGAAGATGAAACATGCCACTACAAAAGTAACCAGAAAAGAATAAAGCAAGTTTCTTGAGCATGAAAGATGGAGGGTAGTCATTCCAGTAGGCCCTAACCTTAATATACGAGCAAGGAAGTGGATTGCCAACTCGACCAACAGAAGTATCATCGAACTCAGAAAAGGTCCCACCAGCACAAGTCTCAGTGAGACCATAACCTTGGCCAATTGGAGCTCTGCACATTCATTTTCTCAATCAGAAATGGGAATAACTCAGAAAAATAAGATCACGACCGAGAAATAAGATAACCAGTCACTTCTTACATTATGCTCAGAGTAAAATTTAACGTGACAAGAATACTATGAATCGGCTGGGTTAAAACTGAATTTTCTTAAACCCTTTTTCTTCAACTGTCCATTTTTACATCTACAGTTACAATATCAATAAACCAGCAGACAGAGTAGAATTTCTAACTCATTAACGGACAAAAGATCAGCTAGTTGTCGTTTAAATAGCATACTAACCCAAGGCAAATGTTGATAAATCTTTGAGTATCACCAGAAAGAGGAGCACCTCCAGAAAGCAAAAACCGCACTCTGCCTCCCAAAACTGCCCGCACCTTCTTAAAAACTAAAAGGTTCCACAGAAGCAGTTCTAGTCCCCAAGCTCCGAACCAACTCCCGTTCACTGCTGACAGCCGGCGATTGTATGCCAAGTCAAATAGACACTTGGCCAATCCACCTTTTGCATCTACCTGAAGGTCAAATTAACATCAATACCAAAGGTCATACTTGAATACATTTCAATTTAAATGATACAGAATGAGAGAGAATGGCAAACACTCACTGTACCTTACTACGCACGCCATCTCGAACACGGTCAAGAATTGCTGGAACAGCTGCCATCACAGTTGGCCTCAATGCAGAAGCATCCCCTTTGGTTCCCTTTTTTATCTTGTTTGAAGTGTCGGTAAGTGTCAAAGGACTTCCGTATCCTATAGCACTTCCCACACCAGCAACTATATTCTGTAGTTTTGTATAGTAACAACAAACAATTAGACATAAAACTGAATCTAGTCGAGTTCTTACGTCGATAATTGCACAATAATTAAGCTTACTTCGGCCGCTAATTCAAGTATATGAGCTAATGGAAGGTATGCGAGATAAACATCATCGCTCTCAAGGCCAGGAACAATGGTCCTGACAGAAGAAACTACAGCCAGGACATTAGCATGTGTCATCATCACTCCCTGCATGAATAGGTACACAAGGGAAGTCGATACATTATTGTCTTGTAAAAATACAGAAATGGCAAGCAAAGACATAAGTGAAGTTTCCAATGTATAAAATAAATGTTGCGAAAGCTTCAATAGCGTAAAATATGTTGACCACGATGTATATCAATAGTTAGGGAAGATTCAGCTACAGAGCAGTAGACCTCCTGGCCAAAGACTTGAGACTCGTATTGAATGTACAAGAAACTTTAAGAAACATTGACATCTGGTGAACAAGACAAAAGTAAGATAAAAGGACAAAAACAAAAGCAAAGAGAGGAAGAGAAGAGAGCAAACCTTTGGTAACCCAGTACTCCCACTTGTATACATGATGACAGCAACATCACCTGGCAGAGGCAAATCAGCCCCCGTAGGATTTTCTTGGCCTAGTTTCTCCACACTTGCCATCGACTTAACTGTCCACCGCCCACTCTGCTCCAGTGGAGATGCCACAGCAGGAACATCGTCATCCATACATATCAACCGTTTCACGCTGTCGAGTTGCCCACTTATCTCCACAAGTTTCTTCAGTTCCTTGCTCCCACAAATCACAGTGGTAACTTCAGTCTGAAGATCAAAGACATACGGATCTCATTAGAATCATATACCATAGACCAAGTTAAGAGGAAGAATAGCGAGCTAAGTATCTCTGAAGTATTTCAATTCCACTTGGCAATTGGTGTCTACAGCAAAAAGTAAACCTAAACACCTGAACTTCATTTCTATCTAACGGTGTCAGCTAGGAAACAAACAGCCGAGCACATTAGGAGAAAATCTTACTTGGAATAGCACTTAGGAACGAGAATTGATTTTTCTTTTCTAAGAGAAATGAGACAGGCTACTATCTCAGCTTCCCTTGCATTCTAGGCTAAAAATTTGATATCCACAAGCGAGGAATTCTTTTTCCCCAATAAGTACAAGCAAACAGAAAGAAAGTTCAACTCGTTGCATCAATTTTTCTGCTTCATGGAAACCCAAAAGTATGCAAAAGATAAGAAGAGAAGGGGAGAGAGAAACCTCATTCAACGAGTGACAGAGAGCTTCTTCCCCTAGTGAAGAGTAGATGGTAACCACTGTGACATTGCGCCTAAAGCAACCCTGAAAGCACACCCAAAAGAAGATAAGCCATTCGCCTTCAAATCCATCATTGAAGACACTGAAAACACATGCTTATGAAGGCAAAAACAGAAAGAAGAACAACCTGCAACGCGATGAACCATTCAGCTCTGGTATCAGCGAAAATGGCGACCCGCTCGGTCCTCAGATGCCCGAGTTGAGCCAACCCAGAACCGAAATTGGAGACCCTCTGAAACACTGCAGCGTAGGTGAGCCACTCGTACTCTCCCAAGTGAAGCTTCTCGAAGGACCTCCCGTCTCCACTCACTTGAACCTCCCTGGAGATCAACTTCCGGGTCCCCAGCAAATCCTTGTTCCCGTGCCTCTTGCAAGCGAACTCGAAGAGCTCAGCGAGAGTGAACACTCCTTCCCAGGCCGTTTCCAGCGGGGTAGGGAAACCGGCGTTCCTAATTGCATACTCGGCCTGGCCGCCGACGTCGATCGGGACGCCGCGTTTCTTGCCGTCGTTAGAATTCTTCCGGAGAAGAAGGGTCACCACCAGCGGGACAATAGCCCCAATTATGTACACGCTCATGGTTTTGTTTGCAAAGAAGTCGAATATCCTGATACTAGGAAGACGATTAAAAGAAAGGGGGGGGAAAACAAATCACATCAGTCAGTAGTGATGAACCCAGAGAAAACCCATCTGGCAAAAAAAAGGGGGAAACGAAGAGATCGCAGGGAGTTGATTCACCTTAGGGGAAAACGGGGTAGAAAGGCTTCAATGGAGCAGCATTGGTAGATTAGACCGGCGGCGGCGATAATCGGAGACGAGGGCAGGTCGAGGCTTGGATTACTATATATAAATAGCTGGAGAAAGGAAGGAAGGTAATGGAGAGAGTTGGGCGGAAAGATCAAAGGAAGCAGAGGTTGGAAATGGAGTCTGTCCAGTTTTACAACGTTTTATGAGCCGGAAGATACCACACTTGGCATGGCAATTGCTTAATTGGTCCTCTGCGGCCATTGTTCCCCGGTTTTTGTCCCTACGCTTTCATGGCCAGACCGGTTTCTTTTGTTTTTGTTTTTCTCTTTTTGATTTTCTCAAATTTTTTTGTGCCAGCAGCATGTAAAAGTTAAATAAATATTTGGGATTATTATTCTATGTTAATTTGATGTAGGTTACAACATGTTTTGTTATTACTTATTAGTATACATAATTTTTTTTCTTTTTATTTGACAGGTTATATCGCATTCGATTTAAGTCATAATTCAACAAAAAAAAATTAGGTTAATTGTGTTATTCAAAATAACATTTAATTTGATATATTTTGAAACAAAAATAAGAAGATATATATTACCAATCTATACTATAGAACCGTATCATAATATAAAACCGTATCATAATGGTATGAAATTACAATATACAGTGGTTGTATACATGATAACTGGAAAATAGCAGCTCTCATTTATCACCTTTTACCATATATACCACCAGTTATCATTGTATACCAGGATGTTATATGGTCTAATGGCATATATGGTGTTGAAATTTTTCTTTCCGAAAATTTATAAATAAAATAGATCACAATGAACTCTTTTCGTTCTAAGCAAAATTTGAATTAAAATGAACGTGATGAAGCTTGTTCATGATTTCTTTAAACTAAAATATAGATTGCCACAGAAAGGAAATCACGAACAATCCCCACTTATCAACAGGGCAGAATCATTCAAAGAAGAACCCAATAGAATAAAATGCCTCTCTTATTATTAAATGGGATGAAATTTCATCATGGAGGGAGCATCCAAATCTTATCTGCATTTCTGTTTCCAGATTTCTTCGCCAGCAGCAGGTGTTGATTATTAGCTTATTAGTCATTTCCAATGATTGAAATATCGTATCGGGAAAAGTCAGCGGTAGGATATTTTAAGCTAAAATCACAGTTTAATTATGATTCAACCGCATGTCAAACCGCTAAATACCGTCTACCGGTTTTGCCTTCCGGTATGAGGTTTTTCTGGTCGAACTGCCAGTACGTCCGGTATTTTAATCCTTGCTTATTTCATCTAATTTTACTTTGGCCACTCTCCAGCCATACACGTGTCTGAGCCGTCGTTTTCAGTGAGATCTGAGCCGTATATTTGGGTGAAGGAGAGTGGAGGGAGTTGGTGCATGTGGGCCAGATGGCAATGCCATCCTTTCAGATTTTCAAACCTATAATTTCGTCCCTTTCCTCACTTCGACCAAACAGTTTCAAGTTTCAACGGTGGAAACTGGAGTGTTGCATCTAGGTTCGACTCAAGTTGACTCAAGTTGAGTATGTAATTAACGGTACTAACGGTTGAACTACGATTAAATCACGATTTGTTGAGTATGTAATTAACGATACTAACAGTTGAACTACGATTAAATCACGATTTTGTCGTAAAATATCCTATTACTGACTGTTCTGGTATGATCTCCGGTACGGTTTCATGAACCATGTAACGAACATGATATCCAGAATATGATTGAAATGACACAACACCCTTACCACCTAGATCGGACTTTCTCCCAAACCCATTGATATTAGCGCGTTTTAGCCTAATCGTTGGATGCACGCAACGACAAACATTATTAGCACCGTCAAGAGTCATAGTAAGGCCTAAAGCACAGCAGCTTAAACGGTCGGGAGTGAAGTTTCAATACGAACCTGATAGAAACTTTGATCAAAGAGAAGACGAGAAATCATAATTCCGAACGAAGAAGAGAAATTTGATATTGTACGCCCACTATAACTTGTCAACCAACTAACTACACAGTTAAAACTCAAAGACACATCAAACAAAACAAAGCCATCTCTACGTCAGATACCGTATCAAAAGATAGTTTCTAGTATCCCTTCTTCCACCCAAAATCAGAAAGAGAAAAAAAGGCTGAGTTCAGTCTAGTGTGTTGCTGATCTTCCACTGGATGATGATTGATCGGCATTCCCGGTGGGCGGTGGTGCAGCTCCGGAGAACATTTCCATGGCTGATCGGAGAGCTCCTCGCAGCTCATCCGGCATCATTTCTCCTAAATTAATGTTCATGCTTCCACCTACTCCTGCTCCGGGCTGCTGGTGCGGCTCATCAGGGGGATTCCTGGTTGGTCCTTGCCCTCCTTGTTCGTGATGCTCTCCTGTGTGTTGTACATCCGGCATAACATTCCGCATCATGTTTGCAAAATTCATGGGGATGGAAGAAGGATCAAACGGCATCGATCCAAATGGAGGAGGAACCCCCGATGAACTCGAGTTCTGCAAGGTGCAAGGGTTTAAGTTCAATATCAGAACAAATTGTGCCAGCTAGTTGAAGACATCGTCCATTCTAATCACCGTAATTATGGAGGAACATTATGAAAATACCTGACCCCATGATTGCTCTTCCTTTAATTTTTCCTCAGCAGCCTGTTTTTCACTTTGCAATTAATTAAACTATATGAATCAAGCCTGGATTGTGAGTGTGAATTTGAGCTACAAAGGAAACATACCTGGATATTCTCCATCATGGACGCATTTTTTGGATCCAATTGCAAGGCTGAATAAGGAAAAAAAGAAACCACATTATTCATATCAGTCAGCCAAGGGTGTTGCATCTCGAAGATAAAACATAAGGAACTTCGTCACAACAGAAACTATAGGGGTTTTACATCATTTCTGTATTTTATTGAGGAGCACAGGGGTGGTTGAACCCTGTGATTAGAACGTGTATTTGATAATCTGGTATTGGAGACTTCTTGAAATGATTGATTGTAAGAATATACTGTTGACTGAAAAATCAATTAAAATTGAAAAGGTATCATTTTGATATATCTGAAATACATGTGTTTTCGTCTCTAACATTGCATCGTTGTTTTGTATATGTTAAGGTCGGAAAAACGTGTACCTCAGGATCCATGTATTTATTGAATCTCTGGCAACTTAGTAATATCCATTGCTTTATCCTAGATCCTTTCTCAAGTGAAAATTCTCAACATACATAATTGCAGCAAGCATGAATTATGAACTTGACATCCAGCCAACTAGACAGATTCATCCTCTTTCTTAATTAAACTAGAAAGTAAAACATTCATATTCCAAAACTTATGAACTAAATTTTCACTGACCTTTCTTAAATCCCTTATCAATAGCGTCCCTGTAGTTCCCTTGTGCATAGTACACGAATCCAAGACGACTGTATGCCTTACTGTAACTAGGATCAATTTCAATAGACTTCAGACAATCTCTGATTGCTTCGGCATACTTTTGCACCTGGGTATATGCAGCAGCCCTGATGAAAAATCCGTCAAACAAGGCCAACTGATACTGTAATGTGGAGAATATGACGCACAAATAAAATTCCTAATTCCAACCAAAATACAGCTCAAGGAACAGGACAATCTGCATCTCACTGGAAAAAGAACAGTATAGAAGAAACTCATTACAGGTATTACTGTCTTCTAGAAATGCAGAGTTATACAAAAAGGCAAAGTCCAGAAAAATTAAGGAGATTTTCACCCTTTAAAAGTTACCCTAGTCGGAGAAACTATGAGGTTTTATACCTGTTGCAGTAATAAACAGCATTCTTTTCACAAAGTGCAATGGCACAAGAATACAACTCAATTGCATCGTAGTATCGCTTTAACTGCAATGCCTTGTTACCTAAAAGCAAAGATAAAGTTACTCAAATCTTATCCATGAATTTGCTAAAAAGCAATGTCAAACTAAAGTGGATTCTGTGCAAGCATCCGTCTGGGATATGACAACACCAGAGAGCCGAATTTCTGGTAGATAAAGATGCAGCAAGTGAATCCAAAACAACGCCACTACCTCTCATACTGTTGGAATGTTCTTACAATCTCTATGAAAATGTATGAAGAGACTTCGAGGGCAACGGTTGATAACACATTAATGAAAAACAGAGCAAAATCATATCTACCTTGTGACTTCAATGCTTCAGCGAGGCTATTCCTGTTGTATGACTGGCATCCAGATCTTTCCATCTCCTGGAAACCAGTTTACTTCTGTCAAACAAACACTACATGCAAATACAAATTGAATGTAATAGCTAATTCTACATAAGTACCACAATTATATTAAACCATCAGGAACATAACAGACAACCACAAGGCCACATAACAAAGCCATTACACAAGGACTATTAATACAAATCAATACATTGAGAGCCTCGTGGAATAACCGTGTTGCTTTGTCTAGTTGGATTGAATCATCCTTCCCGTCAGGTGTTGCTTTGAAGAAGTGAATTTTCTCGAGTGCAGCGAAGAATTGCCCAAACAATTCATCATTTGACATCCCTAACAATGGAAGAGGAAAACTATATCAAAACCCAAAACAAGCGTTCAATTTCTGCTGAGGATGCACAAGACTAATTTCCCAACTTTAACAGAAACTGTAGGAACTGTGAAAGGCTTACCTACACCACCAGGTTGTGTCGTCCCATCTTCCTCCTGATAATAAAAAAATCCCAAAAGGGAGTGGTAGAATCGTCAATTAGGGGGAGAAAAAGTCATCTCAAAGTTTCTTTTTTTCTGTCACAATTCTTAGCAGTTCCCTAAACGGAGCAATCATGGTGTTCAAGTAAAGCTTGACCCAACTGAACAGACAGCGATTCTAGTCTTCTTGACATGCTAACTTGCTAAGCAATCAGGAAACACCAAGCGATCCCATAGTCCTATCCCTTCCATAAAATATATGCTAAGATTAGTTGCTTGCAGCCGCCTACAACTTATAATGAACTTAGGGTGGAATTAGCAAGAAAGAGACCTGGTGAACCTGTGAGCGATGTCCGTCGGCAGGATTGCGATCATTTGAGTCGAGGGAACGGAATAGGTTGACCAAAAGACCAGGTTGAATTGGATCATCAGCAGAATTGACATCAAGCTTGAACGCGCCGGCTAAACATTCCCGTGCTACCTCCAAGCTCTCGGCATCAACTCCGGGTGCTGGTTCAACTGGATTGTGAAGGCAAGGCAAGGCAAGGCAAGGGGAAAGAGAACATAGGTAAGAGAGAGAGAGCGACCAGTTACTTAAAAAGCGAGCAATGGGAATAGAGGAACGGAGGGAGAGGAGGCGAACCACAATCAAGGAAATCGAGGAAAGCTCGTACGATGCGGCGGGAGAAGGGAGAATTGGACTTCAAGTTCGCCATTGAGACCGGAATAAGATTTGGGGAAGAGAATTGAGAACATCGGCGGGAGAGCAGACGGTAGAGACGAATCAAATAAGGGCAACAAGCCAACAACCAAAGTAAAATGGTTAATATTTTAGTTTGGGCCCGAATTATAGACAAACTTTCTATTTTATTTCATGGTATCGGAAATTACTATTATTGCCTAAACTATATAGCATACTTTCTTATTTGGCCTGGAGGTGATTTGATCGTTAAATTAGACGGTCAACCGAGTTTACTATGCACCAGAGTAATAACCTAAATTTTGTCTGGGGTTGTATTCCTCGAGTCTTTCGATGGTACCTACTTTTTTTTAAAAGGGTTGTGTTCATTTTTTCATATGGTACCTACTTTGAAACTAACTAATTATGCTTGAATGATAATTCATACGTTGAGATTCTCTATGGTTTGTTATCTAATTAAATAAACGAAAATAACAAAAGCAAAGAAACAACAATGAAAGCAATAAAAGAACTATTGTTTGATAGTTTAATCTAGATGATCATGCATACAATCTCACTAATGAGATGAATCTAGGAAATATCTATTATGATATCATATCCTTTTCGCTAAAGCATTCCTAGCTAAACTTTTGCCACATGCTAGAGAAACTACAACTAAGTAATGCGTGTTTTTGCTTTATGTCATTAACTAGCTAATAAAATAAGGAAGTAAGGATAGTGAATTGACTACTTAGGGTTTCTACGAACCATTGCAATGAGCTAGAACATTGAAGGGGCTTGTGCTTCATTGTTTTGGATAAGGATTTTTTTCCAGAAATACCATTAAAAATAAATTATTAACTATGTCAATTTGGTTTCTATTGTGGAAAACTAATTCTTGTACGAAAATGATTCATTTTCCTCTTAGCACAACAAGTTATTCCGTCAATCTTGATAATCCTTATTCAATTAGAAGACAAATAATCCCTCAACCATTTGAAAATCATGATCACATCAGCATTAATAATAGTAATTTGGTTAACATAGAAATCTGTATCACACAAGGATTCCTAGTCTATCTTTGATTAGTTAACCTTCATTGTATCACCTCTAAAGCCTTCTCATTCATTTCATGATGCGTAACCCTTTGTTCCTTTGTTTCATCGACAATGACCCGAAGGTCATAGAAATTGAGCATCCTCTTTTGTGAAGTTATTATAAAGTATGGATCCTCTTGAAACAAATTATTACAATGAGATCCCAATCATAGATAAGCCATGCTTGTTACATATCCATCTTTGCATCGATACAATATATGTTTATTTAGTACAATCTTAAACGAATCATATTATTTAATTTAGAGTTGGACAACCACTTCATAGACTCTATCGAACTGAAGGACCCCGTGATATTTTGTTTTTCCCGAGAAATGTAAAAAAAGAGAATATAAAAAATAAGCAAACCTGATCCCTCTTACACCCAAAAGACCCAAGACCGACTACTACAACAACCTAACCATAAAATTAAAGACGTCAATTGTAATTAATACACAAGTGAGAATTTTACATGTCACTCTATGAGCAGTCCAATGACTCGAGTGAACCACTCTAAAGTCTCAAGTGGAATGAAAGAGACCAGCCGAATAATTCCTCCAATAATTTACGCCAGGATGCAAGAACTCCCTCAACATCGTAACTATTATCTATTTATCTTACTTAATAAAAAGTTTGGCTATTTAATTTTGTTAACCAAGAAATTATTCAATCACCTCAGCAAGCTATCTGCCACATCAACTACATGTCCGCCACCTCAACATTTCATCCGCCACTTTAAGGTCAACTAATAGGAACTTGGCTATCAAAATATGTATTTTAATAAACATAAATTTGGTTAGCATTATGCACAAAAAATAAAAACAAAAAGTTAAGCTATTTAAATTATTTTAGTACTCTCGTTATCATCGTTTCGTGGAGCCACCAAAAGATGAAGGGAAAACCAAACTACAAACTACTCCATCTTAGCCTGTAAGTACCACGCAACAGAAGATACTATAATTACACTGCTGCTGCTGCTGCTGCCGCTGCAGCCTATTTCTTTCCTAACTGTGCACTGCAGTGCCAAGAGGGCGAGAGACGAATCATTTCTTCAGTCGCTTCGACCTCCTGACAACCTGAAATCGCCGCCCAACCGTCAGATTCTCGGCCATTTACAACAAACAGCTTACTATTAATTAGTGCAGAACTAATCAAATGTTTATCCCTTACTTGGGATACTTCTCCTGTTGTTTTGCTAGGGGCAACATCGCGCTCCTTCTTTCCTTTGGCTCCTGCAAACCAAAACCCAGATATTTACCAAGGTTAAACAATGCATCAGTGACCCAGCCTATATGGTTTTATCATGGCATTATAACGTCTTTTCGACAGTTATTGTCATTCTATACCTATTATACTGTGTGCTGCTGGCCTCACCAGTTTGTAGTACCATACATACGGTTTCAGAATCCATGGTTATTATAAATACAATACGATATGAAAGTCAAAAAGCCGTAATACTAAGCTGAAGATCAATCTCCACTATGCAGCCACCACAGAGAACCAACTAAAAAACGAATCCACTAAGGAAATGTTTCCGATGACGTACCAGTAAACGAGGCAGTGTCATTATTTGCCAACACCTTTGTTGACTTCTTGGCGACAACTCCACTGCTATTCGTAGAATCTTTTAGCACATTGAGAGAAGGGCAAGCCAGCAGTTCACTGCAAAATGGAGTCAGCAAAGGACGCTCAGGTATAGCAGTGATGAATTATGCCGAAAATGATAAATCGAGGATAGCAATCCGGTGGAATATGTACCCCTACTCAAATCAAACAAGATTCATAATTACAATTCTGCCAAAAAAGGAAATGTAACCTAATCCTACTATCTTCTTCGGAGAAGAGAACAAGAAGTAGGAGGATTTAAGCACGGGGCAGACAGTTGAGATGATGAGATAATTAGAAATTTTCTTTACAGGACAACAAAAGGAAATAAATAATATTTTCAGAAATTACCAACAGGAACAACGATAATGCCAGTCAGGCATCAACAATTGCAAGACAAAAGAATCACAGCAGCAGTTAATAGGACAAGGATTGCCAACAAAAAAAAAAAAAGAGATTGGACCATAAACCATAGCTCACCAGTGGCTAGATTCTTTGGCATACAACTCTTCTGTGGACATGTTCTCCTGATATTGCCAACAACAAAAGCAGCAATAGATAAGCTAAAGATTGAGGGTATCCAAGAGAAAACCCTAAAGTACGAAAACCCAAATTTTGGATGATCTTTAATTGAGACAGGAATCCCAAGGTTCTCCGTCCTACCTTTTCCATTGAGGAACTATTCTTGGCCTTCTCGCATGTCTCCAAGCATAACAAGTCCATCTCCCCAGTATCATAAGCAGATGTCTGCAGCAATCCGGAAAGGACAAACAAAGTAGTAAGAGACTAGATTCTTCAGTTGACGCATAGACTGAATAGAGAAGATAGATTCTTCAGTCACGCGATGACAGACGGAGGAAACAGCATAGGTAAGAATGAAACAGATCCCAAAGCATGTACGAGTACACTATGTAGAGCTGACACATGATTATATTACACAACCTGATGCTTCAGCAATATGATGGTTGCTTATAAATATTTGAAACTAAAAGATATTAAAACAATATCCAAACCACAAGTTCGGAAGCACATGCACAAGACGGTCATCATTCACAAAATTGAGATCAGTTGAATTTCATACCACAAACATCGGATATTATCATCAATATAATAGGAGACAGCTGAAATAGAGCAACTAACCACGAAGTATGAATCAAAACCTAGCAATTAAGGGGTTGTTCAGATCAAGGATTTGGAACCCAAATCCAACACTAACGCAAATTGGCCAAACCCAACGTTTTGGTGCAGAAAAAGGAGGGTACCAAATCCGTAGGGACCACGAATTTAAAAAAATTTTGTTCCAAATCTGGGCACCAAATCCGTGGGGACCACGATAAATGACTCATATACCCATGAATTTTATTTATTTCATATTTTCCCTCATTATTAATTTTTCCTTCTCTATGAAATCGATTGAAAATAATAAAAGACATTAGAGGTAGTAAGGTAAATCAAACTTTCAACCCATTAATCCTATTCAACAAAATCCATCATAAAATCTAACCTCTAAATAACAATTTTCTCAAATCCCAAATGAACCAAATCCATCACCAATCCTTCATTTTCCGAATCCCAAGATTTGACACAAACCCTCATTCTTCAAATCCTAGATCCAAACGACAACTAATTGACGCATCGCACAAATCAAGACGACATTAAAATGCCAAGGGCAGAAGTGGAGGAAGATGAGCATTGTATTAGAACAAAGGTAGGCAGATGGCCAGCCAAACACCAAACAATTCTAGTTACCTTGTGAATATTGTGGTTAGAAGCAAAACCAACAATCATGTCCTTGGAGAAGCTGACAGAAGAGAGAAAAAGACGGGTTACTGGCTTACTGCTGGAGGCTAGCTCATGACAATCCACACACACACACACACACAAAAAAAGAATCTTTATTGGCAAACAGCCGTTACCGCGTATTAACTGCAGATGATAATTTGCTGCGCTTCGACATCGATCTCTCACGATTGAATATCTGTTGTAGAGCACAATACATGAGACCCTGAACAATGTGATAGACATAACTCAGCCTACGATCTGGAAGATTAAGAACAAATAAGTGCTTACACAAGTATCTTCCAAAGATTGAACATATCCATCTGACTTTTGGTTCAGTGCTTCAGGCTGCAGCATAGAAGGTGATACAGTTGCAGAATCAGTGGAAGATATAGGATTGCAAGATGTAGAGGCACAACCAAGCTGGATCTCAGTTGCAGTATGGTTGCTACATAATCCCTCAGATTCCAGATCAGGTGACAGGGCATTTTCTAACATTTGTCCCAAAGACACATCTGCAGCAACAATTCCTTGGGTTTCTGGAGCAATCAAGGATTGCAATGGGAGAGACACCACAACTAAAGCATTATTCTCAGTCCCACAAGATCGCGGCTTATCTTCTTGAAGATCCCTACTACGTTTATTAGAGTGGCCAGCAGGCTAACATAAACAAAACAAAAAAAAAAATCAAATCAAATCAAGACAAATATTTCTGATATCC